GTGGTGGGGGGCTCAGGGGACAGGGGCAGCCTGGGTGAGGAAGCGCTTGCTCCCCATCTGCCACACCTGTGTCCCTTCCTTGTCTCCCTGCCCTCTCAGAGGGTGTGGTTAGGCCCCCAGCCCAAAGGCCGCCAGTCAGCCAGCATCAGTTCTGCAAGCCAGGGATGCCCGCCCTCCTGGGCCACAGGGAGCCCCGCTCACAGGGCAGGGCTGGGGAAAGTGTGACTCCACTCCTTCGAGGAAGACCTCCGGCCCCAAATGGGCAGAGTGGAGGCAGGCAGCCCCACCCCCTCCAGAGCCCTCATTCATGGTGCCCTGATGGTACATTAAATGCTGAAAGCCCCCAGCCTGGCTGCTGGCAGCATTTTTCTTTCTTTCTTTCTTTCTTTTTTTTTTTTTTACCTTATATCTGCAGTTTTCATCTTCTCTGGCATCACAGGAACAGGGCCTATCTGTGACTGGAGAGTTAGTGGTAAGACATTAGAACAGAAAATTCTGCTTCCTAGACAGAGGTATTGAACTACCCTTCACCCCAAAGTCAGTAAGCCTGGCTTCTGCTAAGAAGGGGTGGGTGAGGGCAGGGGTGGGGAGACATAAATGGGAAGCAGTAGCCTAGAACATTATTAAATTGTTCCGTCTGATGAATCACTAGTGGACTGCTAAATCCTTTTATGATTTAGGAGAGATCCTGTGACTGTGACGTGTAAATATTCAGGAAAGATCTGCCAGGCAGGACAGCTCGCAGGCTTGGAGAGGTGGTGGTGCCCAGCCCGCAAGAAGAGAGTCAGGGCGCACGTTTCCTGGGGCCCCCAGCGGAGGGCGCTCTCGGGTGGGTAAGGGGTCAGAGGGGCTGCTGGGGCTCTGAAGGAGGATGGCTACTGTTAGACATGGCACACCGGAGGCCCCGGCATGGAGCAGGGATGGGTAGGTGTGGGGTGTGGCTAGCTGGTGGATGAAGGGCCTGAAGATGGGTGAGAGGTGAGTTCAAGAGGACCTGAGAACCTCTGGCTTCCTACAGGCCCAGGTACTCTGGGTCTGAGCACCCCTCTGCTTCCTCAGGCCTGGCCCAGCCTGAGCTCCTCTCACGAGACAGGTGGCCGTGGCCTCCGGAGAGGGCAAGGCCCATCTACGTGACTGACAGCCAGGTCTTCCAAGTCCAGGATCAGAGTCCAGAGAGGACTGGAAGCAGACGCCACTGGGACCAGGAAGTTTTCAGAGCTGGAGTCCCTGGGGGTCAGGTGGGATTCTCTGGGAGGAGTGCTTTCTGATTTGGCCTGCCCTTTCTCCCGGCTCCACCAGTACCTGGTTCTCTCTTTCCATTCACCATTCTCTGCTCCAGTGCAGAAAAGCTGGAGCGATTTGGGGAAATGGGTCCAAGCTGTTGGTGAGCGGATGGGCATGGGTGGTCGCATCATTCACTACGTGAGGCTCCTCCTACCCCAAACCGCAGCCTGTTGCGAGGCCTCATGGAGGAAAGGAAATTTTGGCTTTCCACAACCCAGCCTGGGGGTGAGAAATTCCTTTTGGGCCTGGGGGGAGGGAGCGCTCCTTCTTGGCCTCTCTGTCCTGCACTCACCAGTGGCCTGGGGCTAGGGGCAGCTGGGCCACACCCTAGGTGTCCACACAACCCACACTCCAGACCCTTAGCTGTTATCTCAGTGTGAACAGGACCTGGAGTCCTCCCACTGAATCCCTGTGGGGCCAGTCCTTGGGCATCCTGGGAACAGCCACCTCTGGGACAGGACGTGGGTCTTAGCAGGCATGTCAGGAATGAGGCACATCTGGAAAAGCACTTGCTGTAGTGCTTGCTGCCAGCAGTGTTGTAGCCTAAGTGGCCTGCAGCCTCTCCCAGGGCTCAGGAGCTAGAGACAGAGGGCTCTCCCTTATTTAGACTGGCTGTGCCACTGTCCATGATGGGGGGGACACAGAGCCTGAGGGAGTAGAGGGACAACACCTGCCAAGGTGGGGGACACCAAATGGGGGGTGAACTGGACACAGCAGTTTGCCCTTGGGGCCGATGTTGGGGCTACTGGGAATTGAGGGTTGCAATCGCATGTCCCTGGGCACTCATATTTAGCTGAGTGCTGTCCCTTATTCCTGCTCACCCGGCATCTCCTAGGGCCTGTAACCTCAGACCTTCTGCTTTTTCCTGGGCCAACAGAGTTGAGTTTGGTGAGCATGTATGGGGGCCATTCCTCACAGGGGACAGGGCTCTGGATTAGGTGGTCCTAGCTGGTAATCCCAGCTTGACCTTTGCTTGGCAACTCACAAGATCCTCAAGCCTTCCAGAGTGGGGTCTGCACTGGTGTCTCTGGCCATGCCTCCATTCTGATGACTCCTCCTGGTGTTGGCGTGCCCTCATCCCTAGGCATGGAGCTCTCTTGGTAGCATTAGGGCAGCAGCCATGCTGGTAAGGGAGAGGGGGACCCAGAATGCAGGGATGGCAGATGCGGCACTCAGAGGAGCCAGTTAGCATCCTGACTGGTGTGTGCATAATTTGCCTGGGCAATGATGAGTTTTCCTGAATTATTCTTCCTGGCTGTTCTAGAGCAAGGTGGTACTCTGCAGGTACACATGTGCATGCATATGCATGTAGACACACACACACACACACACACACACACACATACACGAGCTCCATGCAGGGACCATGAGAACTTATAATAGGATGGAGGCCTCAGAGCAGGTCTGTGGGACCCTTGGTCATCTTCTCATGGCCTGAAACAGTGGTTGGAAGTTACCTGGGCTAAGCAAACATCTATCCGCTATATTAGTAAGTCTCTAGGGACTTGTACCCACAGGCACTGTGGACTTCTGTGAATCCTTGGCTGTGTGGCTCTGCACTGTGGACCTCTGTGAATCCTTGGCTGTGTGGCTCTGGACCTGGCCCTGGTCCCCGACCCCTGGGATATAGGTTCTTCAGAGCTACACTCCTGACTCTGCCCCACTGCTCAGCCATGCCAACATCTGCCCGGGGACAGCTCTCTCCTGCTGCCTCCCTTGAGCCTCCTGGCTGGATCCCTGTGTCCTCAGCCTCAGATCTTAGGCCTGCACAAAATGAAGAGCAGGAACTGCAGTGGGCTCTCAGAGGCCGGGAAACTGAGGCAGAGGAAGGTGTGTCCACTGCTCAGTACAGACACCAGTGGCCTGATGAAGAGCCTGGCTGGAGAGGGGCACAGCCCTGTCCCGAGGAGCCTGCATTGGAGGGGCACTAGGCTGTCTGCTGGAATCTCCAGGTGACAGCATTCCAACTCTGCAGAGAGATGGGTCAGTGGCCCTGGAGGATGCCTCACCAGGGCTGTGGAGGGCCAGGGCAGCCTCCCGGGACAGAAATGCTGAGCCAGGGCTGCCCAGAGGAGAGGATGAGGGGCAGGTTCTGGGAAGTGCCCTCCCCCCGGCCAGCTCCCTCTCTCAAAGGGTTAATAAGGCACTGATTACCTCTGGCTGCCCAGACAGTCTGAGCAGACAGGGCCTGCCAGCCCCTGCGCCCACAGTCTCCAGCCACTCCTTGCTGCTTATGGGCAGCAGTGCCTGTGGGTGAGCACAGCTTCCCAGCCTGCTGCCTGCTCCCAACAAATGCAGGCTGCCTGTTCTCTGTGCTCCCTGGCCGTGCAGGGCACAGCTGGGCAGAGGGTAGTCTGTGGAGGTGGACTCATTCCCTGAAGCCTGGACCCTGGACAGGAGGAGGGACACAACTCACGTGCCTGTCTCTATCCTCCCCCAGCACACCCATGACTCAGGGAAGTCACTCCCCTTTCTGAGCCTCACTTTCCCATCTACAAATGGGATAATCATGCTCTGGCTTAGAACTGTGGTGGGCAGGCGGGAGGAGGGAGCAGGTGGCCTTTGCTCGGGGCAGACAAGGACCCCACCTGTTGGACCTGGCTCACCTTTCAACACTTTCACGTATGGCAGGCAAGTGGGCTGGCTGGGCTTCTGGACAGCACCCTCGCCCCAGAGTCCAGACTTGTGCTCACTTCGTTAACTGAGTGTGCAGGGGGCTCAGGCTGGGCTGTCAGGTCTGCAGGGCTGCCTCTTTCCTGCTTCCCACTGGGCAGCCTGATGGCACCCGCCTTTCCCCTCTTTCCCTTCACTCCTTGGCACTTCTCCCTGCCTCTGTCTCCTGCAATGCGTGGGGAATCTCTTCGTTCTTCTCCCTTCCACTTAGTTCCTATTTTGCTCCCTGCAGCTGTTGCTCATGTTCTTCCCTGTCCCAGAAGCTCACAGGCCCGATATACTTTTCTCCTGATTAAGTCAGGGTTCAGGATCCACGGTGGAGAGACCACGTCTCCCTGTCTGTCCTTCCTGGCTTGGGCTGCCGCTTCTGTCTCTTCAGTGACCTTTCAACTCACCAGCCTGTGAAAGGAAAGTTCTGAACTGTCCCCATCCTTCCCCTCCAACTTATTCCCAAATCACTGGTTCAAACTGTTCCTAAGTAGGAGCTTCCCAACATTCCTGCCTATCTTGGGTCTGCCCTTGACTGCAGCATGGGAGGGCAAGCCCCAGACAAAGCTCTCTGCATCTTCCAAAGTCTTTTTGCCCCCATCAACCCATGCCTGACTAGTGTGTGTGTGTGTGTGGGGGGGGACAGCTGGAAAGTGACAAGTAGTTGCTGGTCCTGCTGGGTATGGCAGGCCCAGACAGCACCCCCTGGATCCCCGCAACCCCCAACTTCAGGACTAATAATGTCACACCACTTTGGGATGAAGATTTCAGAGGCAGGACTGTGGTGCTCACCTCCAAGGAAGACAGTGACCACCCCCTTAGACCAGTCCCCCGCCTTCTCCCTTTGGAAAGCCTGGCTCTGCCCCTGGGCACCCCCTGAGCTTTGCACACTGGGCAGGACACCTGGATTTCTTTGGCCCCCTGAGTGGGGCCAGCTTGGAGGAATTTCCCAAAGCCTATTAGAGCAACGGCTGCCTCCTGCCTGCCTTCTGGGCTGGGCAGGGCTGAGGGTGGAGGGAGAAAGGGAGGGAGGCAGGAGGGAGGGGGAGAGGAGGAAGGAAAAAAAGTTGGCAGGCGGACAGCAGAGCCGAGTCTGCATCCATCGCAGAGAGGAGGCCCGTGTGGTATGGGGCGGGCCAGGAGCAAAGAGAGGCCTTCCTCCCTTTGTGCTCCCCCCGCCCCCCCAGCCCTATAAATAGGCCCAGCCCAGGCTGTGGCTCAGCCCTCGGAGGGACTTGAGCACCAGGCAGTGAGCAGTCTCTAGCCAAGACCCTGCTAGCATGGCCAGCGAGTTCAAGAAGAAGATTTTCTGGAGGGCCGTGGTGGCTGAGTTCCTGGCCATGACCCTCTTCGTCTTCATCAGTATTGGCTCTGCCCTGGGCTTCCGGTACCCACTGAACAGAAACCAGACGGCAGTGCAGGACAATGTGAAGGTGTCGCTGGCCTTCGGGCTGAGCATTGCCACGCTGGCCCAGAGCGTGGGCCATATCAGTGGCGCCCACCTCAACCCGGCTGTCACGCTGGGGCTGCTGCTCAGCTGTCAGATCAGCATCCTCCGCGCGGTCATGTACATCATTGCCCAGTGCGTGGGGGCCATCGTCGCCACTGCCATCCTCTCAGGCATCACCTCCAACCTGCCCATGAACTCGCTTGGCCGCAATGACGTGAGTGGGGTGCTCTAGGCTTGGGGCTGGGGGGGGGCTCTAGAATGGCGCAGAGGTGGCACTAGTTCCACCCTCTGTCCACTGTGTAGGTGGAAACCCGGAGGAAGAGAGAGAACATGAGGTGGTTGCGGGTTATGGAGGCTCGTACCTGGAGCTCAGTTATGCTGCAGCTCTGGCCCGGTTTCTGCCAGGCTCTGTGGGAATCAGAGCTGGAGAAAAGTGATCGTGCCAATGTCCCCTGCAGAGCATCTGTTGGGCATAAACTCTAGAGGCACTAACTGCAGGCTAGCAGTTCCTCAGGCTCAGACTAGTTTCTTGGTCCTACTCAGCCATGCCTGGCAGCCAGCTCCTTCCCTGCACCAGAGGCAAGCTCTACTTACTGTCCCCCGCCAGGCTGCAGCAGACATGGGCACCTCCACTGCAGGGGCTGCGAGAGTGCGAGCAGGACCCCCTTGGGGAGGTTCCAGGCTTCCAGGCAGCCTCTTTTGTTTGTTTTTTGGCGGAACTGGGGATTGAACTGAGGCCCTTGTGCTTTATTCTACTGAGCCATCTCCCCAGCCCCAAGGCAGCCTCTCATATTCACATGCGTCCCTAAATCAGCACCCGGAGGGAGGCAGGGAAAGAGAACCTCAACTCCTCTGCCACTGGGCATCAGGCTTGGGCCAGGGAGTGAAGACATTTTTCCTGGGTGGCAGAGAGGTAGGAGGCAAGAACTGGGCCCACGGTGCCTGGGAAGAGGGGTGGTTGGCGTGTGTGTTTATGTATATGCATGTGTGGGGGCGTGTGCTTGCCAGGGTGGGCCTCCATGTTTGTAGAAGCTACACGCACGTTTGTGCTCCTGTGCAAGGGTGTGTGTGGGGGTGAGTGTGTAACTGCAGGTGTCCTCTGTTCCTGGCTTGAATGGGAAGCAGATGTTGGTGACTGGGAGTTAGCCACTGAAAATAACTGCTCCAAGGCTGCTTAGTGTGGCTAAGTGGCCATTTGTGGTGGTGACTGCCTGCTGTTAACAGACGCTCCAGCTTCTCCAGCTCCCCAGCCAAGTGCAAACACTGAATGCCCTCGGGATGCACCAGGGGGCAAATGGTCTGAGCGCCAAGGAAGGGAGCTGAGAGTGTGTGCTGGGCAAGCAGGCTGGGGTGCCCTTTCTAGGAGGGAGTCGGACCAAGAGCAGAGAGGAGGAACAGATCTGGAGAAACATGCCTGGAGGGCTCTTCGGGGCTGGAGGGTGTGGGGACCTTGCAGGAGCCCCGAGGGCTTCTCAGAGATGGCAATGGCTGATTACAGCCTCTCATCTTCCAGCCAAAGTTCAGTCCTGCTGATGGAAACCAGGAGGCTAGATAAACGCCCAGTGCAGAGGGCGGCTGTCGTGGCCTGCCACGGGGGATTAGCACTTCTTCTGTCACAGTGACACCTGCCCAGCCCTCCTGGGAGCCAACCTCTGCTCGGCCCAAGATTGAAGATTAGCTCTGTGGTGGAGTTTAGACTTTGGTCAGGGAAGATGTGACTGTGATAGAAGAACCAAGCTTGTGCTGGCCATGTGCCCCCAGGCTTCAGTCTCTTCAGCTTGAGCAGAGCCAGGTGACCTCAGGGAATTCCTGTGGGTGGGGCCAAGTTCACACTGGGGCTTGGCTGGTTAGGATAGGGCCAGGGAAGGCTCCCCCTGGGGAGACTTTGAGACTTTCAGGCCTTCTGGCTCTTCTTTTCCCACCCAACTAAAGGGCAAGCAGGACATATGCACCTGCTGGCAACAACTGCACTCTCCAGCGTGGGCATCCAGGATGCAGACAGAGGGCAGAGCCCTTCTGCACCATCTGGATCTGGCCACACCCTTCCTCAGTTCTCCATCCTCTTTGTAGCTTTCATTTCCAGAGGCTGGTGGCGGTACTACCTTGTCGAGATGATGGGCATTTGGGATTTAGGTATGGGCTTAAAAATAAAGGTATCCCCTCCATCTCTGCCCTCAGACAGTGGCCCTGGGACTTGGAGGTACCTGGGAGTGGTCCTGATGACTCTGAGGGATGGAGCACAGTCCACACTGCAGGTGACAGTCTTTCTTCCATGCTGTGGGGGAAGCTCCCACCACCCCACAGTTCTCTGGTCCGCTCTTGCCAAGGTCTGGGTGGGGCAAATCGTTGGCATGGAGATTTCCAAAGAAAATAGGGGAAAAAGTGTCAGGAAGTGGTTAGATGAGTCAGGGGGTGTCCCCTGGGGACAACTTTCTCCTCACTGAGTCAGGACCTAGGACACACCCTACAGAGACCACAGGCCTTTGTCTACCCCACAGGGTCCCAGCTAGTTCTAAGAACCAAACCCAGATTTTGGCCAAGAGTGAGAAGCTGAGGCTGGGATGGCCGACCTGCCCTGTCCCTGTCCTGGCTTAGCCACCAGCATCCTCTGTGACTCCACAGAGCTAACTCGGCTGACGTGGCCCAGGTTCTTTTCTGTGATAGGACACAGAAGGGTGTGGCTGGCTCAGGAAGTGGCAGAGGCTGGGGCACTGGGAGTCCCAGCACACTCTGGCTGTTTTCATTCTTCCCCTCCCCAGTCAGCTCCCTGCAGACAGACCCAAGTGAGGCTGCTAGGTGCTCAATGCAGGGCTGGGCCAGCTGGGCTCCTTGCCCTGGGACCTGCACAGTCCCAGGATGAGATAAGCCCTGTATGCAGCTGGCTGTGATATGAGGCAGGAGGCAGGTGTGATTAGAGGCATTTGGGCTGACCTGAGAACGCAGCTGCAAGGGTAGGAGGCCCAGGGAGGCTTCAGGGAGGAGATTCCACAGGAATGTGGAGAGCACTGGAGAGGGAAGGGACTCTGGGGGACAGCACGTGAGCACGTGTGTGTGCTCAGGCAGGAAGACCAGAGAAACTGTGCTCTTGGTTGTGGGGTCTGGTCAGTGGAGCAGTGGAGGGTCGCAGTGTGAGGCTGGGGCTCTGGGCGGGCCAGTGCCTGCATTGCTAGCACACAGGTACAGAGAGGGAAAGCCTACCCGCAGTGGTGTCCCTCGTTGCCCTGTGAGTGGTGCCGCAGGCATGGCACACAATTGCTGCCCCCCAGGGGGTTACTTGAGGCCTTGTCTTCACTCGTTCAAGAGCCTAAGTCTGGGAAAATGCTTCCACGTGCTGTTCCAGCCACCTGGTCTTAGTCCCAAGTGTTCCCCAACCCCAGTTTTCTGGGCCTCAGTTTTCCCAGCTAGAGGGACAGAAGAATCTTTATGTCACCAGTTGTCCCAGAAAGGAAGCCCCTGCCACCTCCTCAGGGCTTAGGGGTGGACTGGGGAAAGGGAAGCCAGAGTTTCCGATGACAGTGCTCAGGCTTAATGGGCCTGGGGAGAGGGCGGGAGGGCTGGGTGGTGGTGCCATAGCCAGGACATATAATTATTGTTTCCAGCCAGAACAGATGAGGGGGGCGGCAGGAGCTTTGCGGTGGAGACTTCCCTCACCACGAAAAGTCCTGAGCTGCCTCCCCCAGGAGAGCCCTCTGCAGAGCACACCAGGGCCCACCCTGATGACGCCTGGCCTCCTCCCGGAGGCCTATTTCTGCAGGGACAGGGTTGTGAGAGGATATGTAGGCCACTGGCGACCCTACCCCTCTTGCCCTGGCTTCCTTCTCAGCCGCGCAGCCTCCAGCTGCATGTGGTGGCCCACTCCCTCATCACCAGCTGACTGCAGCCACCACAGCTCAGGCCCCACCTAGCAGATATCGCTAGCCCACCAGCCTTTTCTCAGACAGGTGAACTTCTGGTGGCAAAAGAGCCTTCATTTCTAGCTGGCAAAACTTCCTGCAAGCCCTGGTCCCCACTCTTTGGAAGCACCAAGTGGATCTAGGGACTCTCGTAGGGCAGGGCTTGGAACCATACACTGGCAGATGTGGGGAGGAATGTGTTGTCCCTGAAGGTCCACATGAGGCCCTCAGTCAAGGCCTCTCCCTGGGGACCAGATGTGCTCCTCTACAGAGGGTTAAGTGAGGGACTGTTTTCATTCATCCAAAGATCTCCAGTTGATCCCTGGAGCAGCACAGCCCAAGGCTAAAGCTCATAGCCAAAGGAGGGCAGGAAGGGCTGGAAAAGGTGTTTGCAACTATCAACCTTTCCCCCAGGGTCTGAGATGCAGTCGGGGTCCTGCCAGGGGGTAGGTTCTATATGATACAAAGAATTATTACTTCTTAACTGGAAAGCAGTGGCCTCTAAGGTGATGAGTTTCCTGTCCCTAGAGGTGTGAAAAATGAACCTGCCCAGCAGAGGACGAGCATGGTGAGCTTGGGCTGGGATGTGGGTGGCGGGGCCGATGGACATGGGGGATTCTGGGCTCTTGCGTCTCCCTCTTGGCTTGGTGGTGCAGGCTGATGGCAGGCAAGGCGGAATGCTGGGGATTGCCTGGGGCTGGAATCTGGGCCTCAGCCTTCATTTTACTGGTGGGGAAGCAGGGGCTCACAGAGGCACGGGGCCTTGTCAGGGTGTGCAGTTAGGGGAGGGCAGGACCATGCCCTCAGCCTCCCACCTTCCACCCCACGATTTTTCTGCTCCTAAAAACACAAATCTGTGCACACTCGGACATGTGAGTGTACGTGGTGCAGACACGTGGGAGATTCTCAAGGGCCCCTCAGGCCCTAGGTCCTGGGGTGGGGGCTCTTCAAGGAAGCCCTTTTGTCCCCTTGCCCTGAAGTAAGGAAAAGGAGGGAGGGAAAGGGGAAGCCACTGCTTTGTGTATTGTTCCCTGTCAGGAAGATAAAATGGGAGCAAATAATAAAGGACCCTTTGAGCCCCGGTACTTTCTCCCTCAAGGGGACTTTTTCCCTTCCATGCTCCCCTCCCTTCTCTAGCCAGCGGCAGCACCCATGTGGGTGTGTAACCAGCGACACATTCAGAAGTGTCCCCAAGGATGCCAGTGCCAGCGTGCCACGCAGCCATCCTGCCCCAGACTCTGGCCACGCAGAGCACAGGAGGGCCGGTGCACCCAGCTAGCACTGGTCAGTTTGTCTAAATGACCCATGAGGGCTTGAGAGGAGCTTTTGCTCTTCACTATTCTTTAATGCCGTGGTGCAGTGTTCATCCTGCTTACTGACATCAAGCTTACTAATTTTGTGGTTCGATTTCTGCAGTTGGTGTGATTAGCACTTTGCTGACTGTTTTCACTCTATCAGTTTCTAAGGGAGGATTGTTAAACTCCTTCAGTCTGGGCGTAGACTGAGCCAGCCCTCTTTGTGACTCTATTAACTTTTATATCATTTGTTTTTGGCCCTGTTGTTTGGTGCACACAAGTTGAGAATTTTTATAGTTCTTTGACAGAATTTTTCACTTAATTATTGTGAAATAAACCTCTTAAAACCTAACAAAGGAGTGAGTCACCCCAGGGCCCATCCCTGGACACAAGTATATTGTCACTCTTACATAACAAGTGGATAGATAAAGCTATACAGAGGCACACAAAGCCATGGGTGCCACCATGTGCACCTGTGACCGCTCAGGGAGAGATGATATGATGGGGCCTGAGAGTTTCCCCTGCTGCCCAGCACTGAGTCCGAGAGGCACGGGGGTGGGCAGAACAGAGCTTGATGTTCCTTGTCCCCTGGTGCTTGAGAGCAGATGCTCAGAGCCTCAGCCATGCCAGGCTCTGGAGCCTGCAGCCCCAGTGGTGCTGTGCCAGTGTGCTCAGACCAAGTCGGGGCCCCGGAGCTCACAAGGTTGGCCTGCCTTCAGGGGACAGGGAGGGTTCAGATCCCTTTGGCTGGAGAGATCAGTCCTGGAGCCTGGAACATGCTGGCAGCTGCAGAGCCACCTTTTGCCAATCTCAGTCCAAGCTGGGAACACCAGGGCCCTTGGTAGCCAGCACACTGGCCCAGGAGTGTGAGTTGACACACAACCTGGGGCAGGAATCCAGGCTTTGCTGCCTCTTCCCTGGGCCTCAGTCTCCCCTCTGGCTTCTCACAGAGTCTTGGCACAGCGGAACCTATACAGCCCAGAGACTGACAAACAACCTATTGTCCTCTAGCTAGACTGCTATGCCCAAAGTGCTGCCCTGGAGCCAGGCTGCCTTGAGGAGGGTGGGAGCTCTGGAACAGGTTGGTCTTCTCTGATCTTCTATTAGCTCCCAACGAGCCTTTCCCCTGGGGCTTGGACAGGGAGCTCTGGGGCTCCCAGGCTGAAGTAGGCAAGGTGCCCACCCAGGAGGCAGGTAGGGTCATCCCCTCCAGGAGGCAAAGAGCTCAGTGAGGATGAGGCAGCGTGGAGCAGAAGTTAATCGCAACAAAGGGACCCCGGGAGTCTTCTTGGGACTGGTAGATCTGACGAGGACCTTGAGCAATGAGCCTGCATGGATTTCCTGTTCACGTGGAGAATTTTTAACTTTCTGATGCTGCAGAAGAATCGTGTGGATTATTCTTTTGTTGACACTTGCATGCACAACATTGACTTACTATTTTTAATTTAACCAATAAAATATAAGCCCTGGGCCAGGCAAAACTATGTGGGCATGAATATACAAAACATTTTTTCCTCTAGCAAGTAACCGTATCTAAGATTGACCCTAGTTAATCAATTGTTTTAAATTTAATAGGTTGCATACAGTCAAATAAAGGTTGACTTTTCTTACCTGCTCTTTCCTGACATCAGATTTTAGAGGCATTTAACTGTACCTTCTAATCCTTAATTACGTTTTCCCATAGGAAAGTAACACTAGTGGGTTAAGTGGTTGAAGAAAGGCCACCTGTGGATGTTGATGCAAACTGGGGGTGCTTATCAGGGTGGTAGGGTGGAAGGGGGTATTAGAAGAGGCAGGTTGCAATCCTGAGGCTCCTGGCTGTTAGGAAGGGGGTACCTCCGGAGTTCCCAGGCCAGCGGCTCCCCTCCCCCTCCCCAGGACTCAAGATGCCAGGCCTGGCCTCATGAGCTTCTCTGCTCCCTTTGCATGGGAAGTGGTGCTTTGGGTAGAGGCAGGGACTCTGCTGCAGATAAGAAAGCAGAAGATGAGCCACACCTGGGAGAAAGGCAAGGTGGGGAATGGGGGCACCAAGCAGGAGCCACTCACAGCTGTGGCTCCAGGAGTCCACAAGGAAGGGATGGTTTCAGGATTCCTGCCAGCTAGCAATCAGCCTGGCCCTAGAGACCAGAGCGATGAGGAGAAGAGCTGAGCACCACTGGGCCTCCCAGGCTTCCTGGCCTCCCCTCCAGCCACTGTCCTGGCTCCCAGTGTGTCCTTGACAGCAGCTCTAGGGACCCTCGTTTCTGGCGTAGGGATGGCTCTTCCTCTCTGCCTGTCCTTATAGCCTATAGAGATAATGAGAAAGAACCAGAATAAGGACCACAATCCCTCCTTCCTCCAAATCCCTTTCCAAATGCCCCTCTCAGCCAGGCCTCAGAACTCTCTCAGGACCTTCTCTTGGACCTAGAGAGTGGCCAGGGAACATTAGGCCCATTTTTCAGATGGAGAAATTGAGGACTAAAGAGAGGCTGTGTTCATGATGCCAGCAAGAAGAGTCAGGATCTGAATATAGGGCAGACGCTACCTGGCCTTCAGGCAGGAAGAGAACTAGGCATTGTCCAGAGGACTGACTCGGGGCCAGACGGACTGAGTGCTGGGGTCGGCCAAGAAAGGCCCAGAGCTGGAACTGCAAGGCAGGGGAGGGGATGTGAGTCATTCCCTGTAAACCAGTGAGGCGGACAAAAGCTGGAAGAGAATTGTTCTTGTAAGATGGTCTTGGGCAGGGCTGGGAAAACCTCTGCAAGAATGGAGGAGTACCCTTCACCTAGGATTCTGCAGAATGTCCCCTGTTCTTTGAGTCACCTCAGCACCCTCAGGATGGGAGCTGGGCAGCGAGACTTGAAGCTTTTGCTTGTTGGCACAGCACTGCCTGGGAGGAGGTGGCCAGGTGGCACATCCGGGCATCTGTGCAAGTGAGTCTTTGTGACTTGGCCCTGTTGCCTCATGTGGGTGCTCTGTCCCCATCCCTGGAGCTGAGCACAGGGGTCTCCTGGGGAGAGACCTCCTGGCACAGCTCCTGGGGAGCGAGGGCTCTGGTAGCCCCAGGGCAGCTTTCATTCTCTTCTTTTTCTGTGAGTCATGTTTCTAAAAGTGGCCTAGGAGCAGTGGCAGCCAGACTGTAGTGGCGGGACCTGGTGGCCAAAGAGAGGAAGGGGAGGGCCAGAGCCAGGGCAGAGGGGAGACCGAAGGGAAGACAGGAGGCCACGTCCAAAGGAAACAGGAGGTAGACTAGATCAGGGGACGACAGAGAATGGCATGGGGAAGAGACCCGGTGGAGACTAGGAGAGATGGGGCCTGGGACACCTCATGGAAAAAGCACCTCGTTCAGGCATCAGGGCAGATGGAGCAAGTGTTAGGTGTTGTGCTCAGTGTGAGTGGGAGGGGACTGGAGACTGGTGCCTGCTGTCATCAGTGCTGAAGCGCTGAAGGTCCTCGCCCTAGGTGCCAGGGCCTGGGACCCTTGGACACAGCTTCTACCTTTCCTGCTCACCAGGCCTCCTTGATCCTCTTCCCTCCAGCTGGCTGATGGTGTGAACTCAGGCCAAGGCTTGGGCATCGAGATCATTGGCACCCTGCAGCTGGTGCTGTGCGTGCTGGCCACCACTGACCGGAGGCGGCGTGACCTTGGGGGCTCAGCTCCTCTGGCCATTGGGCTCTCTGTGGCCCTGGGACACCTGTTGGCAGTGAGTAAAGAGCCTTCCCTTGTGGGGTGGGCTGGGGTGGGTAGGGTCAGGTGGTGCAGCCCTGTATGGGCAGTGGGGGCCATCCTGTGGGGAGGGGTGTTGCTGCCCAAGAGAGGCTGCAGGAACCTCTGACCAACTTTCTGGGCCAGTGCTGCTCTGTCTGGGCTCTGATCCCCCTCTCTACTGTCCCCTGCCCTGTTTGTCCTCTCTGTTTTCTCACCTGTCTGTCTCCTGTCACTTTCCCTGCACTCTTTCCTGCCCCCAGATCGACTACACTGGCTGTGGCATCAACCCTGCTCGGTCCTTTGGCTCTGCAGTGCTCACCCATGACTTCTCCAACCACTGGGTAAGCTGGGCTGCAAGGTCACAGGGCAAGGTCAGCACCACCTTGTGGTGCTTATCCCCCGCAGGACCTCTGGGAGGCTGTCAGGACAGAGGAAGTCAGGAAACAGGCCTGAGATGAAGGGGTGGTAGGGACACACTGGAGCAGAGTTAGCCTGGCTGCTGCCCTCCAGGTTCAGGCCTGCCCATTGACCACCCCCTGAACCACCCCAGCAGCACAGCTGAAGTCCTGCGTCTGCCACTTTCTGATTCAGGGTGGCCTTGGGCAGGCTGCTCACCCACCCTGTTGACTCCTTGGTCCCGTGAGCTGTGAGGTGGCACATGATAACTCTTTTCTGCGAAAAGGGGGGAAGACTAAGCTAAGCACAGAGGTAGTACTCGGTGGGCTTCAGTTCTTATTACCCTTGATGTGTGTGTCCCAGGCCAACCCTGTATTAGACTGGGACTTCTAGGGCCAGGGCAGTGGTAGGTGGGAGGGGGGGTATGTGCAGGAGGGGCTGGAACTGGCATGTGTAGGCTGGCCCACATGGAGGCCAGGAGTGCCCCTCCACACACTCTGGATCTGTCCTGGGGACACTGAGTCAGGAGGCTGGGGCTCAGCCCTACCTGCCTCTGTCCAGATGTCCAAGGGGAAGGTGGATGAGGGTAACCCCGAAGGGCCCCAGGGAGGAGCTCTAGGCTGCTCATCTCAGCCCTGGCCAGGTACCCTCTGATCAGATCTGCTCTGCTCCTAGATCTTCTGGGTGGGGCCCTTCATCGGTGGAGCCCTGGCAGTGCTGATCTACGACTTCATCCTGGCCCCACGCAGCAGTGACCTCACAGACCGCATGAAGGTGTGGACCAGTGGCCAGGTCGAGGAGTACGACTTGGATGCAGATGATATCAACTCCAGAGTGGAGATGAAGCCCAAATAGAAGGGCCTAGCCTACGCATCCAGCTGGGGGGCGGGGCAGGGAAGGGTGGAGGGAGGGGAGGGCTGAAACCCATATTGTAGACACTCTGCCAAGCTGGCCAAAGTCACTCCCCAGGGTCTGCCAAACCTGCACGGTCAGACCTCATCGGAGGTGTTCCTCTCACTTTCTTTCTTTCTCTGTTCCCTGGCCTCAAAGCTTCCTGGGGACCAAGATTCACTAATTCACCCCTCCCTTGTCACTGAAGAAGTGAAAGAGAGGGACTCATCTGTTACTGTCCCCTCAGAGTGTGATGGGAGGTATGCCAGAAAGTTCCCCCCTTCCCCCAAGTTGGTTGCCAATTTGCTTGCCACAGGGGCCAGAGGTCCCACTGTGTTGCCTTAGTCCCTTGGGGCAATGCCCTCCTTCCCCGATAGGCACTGGCCCCAAGAGTGCTGGAAGATGACAGGCAGAGCAGCACAGGTGGCAGATAAGGTTTGCCCCTCAGCTTGGCTTGCTCCCAGGGCACTGCCACCCAGACTTGCTGTATGACTGGGAATTGTCTGTCTCAGGGCTTCAGTGATCTCCATTCGTAAAATGGAGGGCTGTGTGGACAGCACCACAGGTTCCAGAAGGCATGACCTGCAGCAGGGCAGCTCCATCTCCTTGTCCCGAGCTCTTTCCTAAGTGCAAAGCTCGGTTCACATCTGTGTGGCCCTGTCCTCTTGTAGATGAGTCCTGGGGCAGAGGTGGATAGATGGTCCAGGTGGCTGAGGGTGCCTGTGCCCTGCCATGAGTTGTTGGGGGCGGGTAGGGGAGCATCTCTAGACAGAGCCTGCTGTTGTAGATTGAAGGATATTTGAAGGGTGAAGCAAGGACACCCATGTTCCTTCACAGAGGCTTAGCTGGTCTTTCCATCTGTCATAGCACAAACTTCAACACTACTCCAGCACAGACCCAGGACACTGTTACATGGGCATGTTTAATAAAGAGTAGCAGGATTATTTGAGGCCCCAGGCCTGAGGACAGAGAGATCCCTATGTGAATCAGTCTATGGTGGAAGACACCCTTCGAAGGGGTTCCAAGCTTGGAGCTGGTCCTGAGCAGGGAAGAACGATTCCCACCCGTGCTTTCGAGGTCATGGTTGGAATCATCAGGCAAGCTGGGGGTGCTGTATGGGCTTGCTGTGTGGCCCCAGGTCATAGCTTTCTCTCCTCATTGACTTGGAGGGCAGAGGCCCTGCCCTAACTTCCTGCTACAGCCCAGGGGCAGTACAGAGCAGGCTGCTTCAGGGCTGATGTCTTCCACTCCACTTCACAAGTCTGAAAGTCTGTTGGCTTCCACCAGGCCGGAGCAGCTCTACTACAGTGCCGTAGCCAGGATGCCCACATAAGCCGAGAGACACAGTCACAATCATGCGGATGTTCAGAAGCATGAAGCAGAGTGGCGGCTGCTCGAGTCACCAGACGCCTCATCTGCACACTTCCTTCTCTGTGCTCCAGCAGGAACTTCCAGCCCAGTTAGCAGATAAGAAAACTGAGGTCTGAGCCCCACAGCTAGATAGGGATTTGGCATGTCGGGCTTCTTCCTGGACTGTGAGTGGATTCCTTTCATGCTCAGTTTCTCGGTTTATGCCTGGCAGTGGCCAGGGACCAAGAGGGGGGAAGGTTGTGATGGAGCAGGACGGGCAGACCCAGCCCTGCGTGGTTCTGGCTGTTGTGTCCCAGGACCCTACATCTGTCTGCTCAGCATTTATGTCTCTTTGGAATTGGAATTTTATATGTTAAGAAAATAAAGGAAAATGACTTATAATGTCCTCTAGATTCCTAGAGTTTTTCTTTTTCAATTGTTGTGTCCCTATAAGAGTTCTCTGGGCCTGTGAGGAGCTTGGTTCTACTGTTAAGACCTCGTGTAGTGTAGGGTGGGGACACAGCCTCTCTTCTGTGTTCAAGGCCCTTGGTCCCTGGGAATAGATACAGCCACAGCATGGAACCCTGGTTACACACAGGACTCTGCCCCCAGAACAGCCTGCTTCTGGGGCCTGGTAGGGTGACTTTGAAGGCCTCAGTGTAGCTAAGGATGGCAGAGGCCCCATCCTTTCAAGCAGCATGGATTCTGGAGGGTGAAGGAGAAGGAGAAAACAAGGCTGACGTCCCACAGCCACGTTCATCCCCACCCCTGCCTCAGAACAGGTCCCTGGGAGCCACAGACTTGCCAGGTCTCTCCCCTACCCTCTCCCTCGACTCACCCTTGGCTCTCACCACACTGGGCTGGGTTCTGGGGCCGGCATACTCTGCCCCAGGGAGCTTGGTCCTAGTGGGGATAGGCTGGCTCTTCAGTGCTCCCTCAGCTGAGACTTGGCCCTGGTTTTCTGACACTCCGCTCACACACACACACACACACACACTGAGGGATATTTGCACTGAACATGCCAACTCTATCAAAAGAAAGGGTGCCTGGTGACAGGAAAGGGGCCAGGGTGGGCTTGTGCTTTCCACTGAGGCCTGGAATCTGGAGGCTCTGAGAGCTACCAACCCATTGGTAGCTACCAACCCATATCTTCTTGACACAAGGGCAGTTGTTACCAGGGAGTGGCTTGAGCAGGGAAGAGGTGTTTAGGAAGGCACCCAGTGCCACTTCTGAGAGACACACGTGCCCCGCCTCCCTTGTGGAGCCCCAGGCTGACGTGACAGGGAAGGCTGGGAAGGTGGAGAACCATGGTCACCCTGTGAGGGTTATGTCAAGAGGACCAGCCATCCCATCCCATCCCACCTCCACCCCATAACAGAGCCTTTCTTGTGATATTGCCTCCAGAAGTTTTGACTTTTAGGCTCCTTGAGCCCAGAGGTAGGGCCTGAAAGCAGGCCAGGAACTAGAGTTTCTGGGGCACCTACTATGTGTAAAGAGATACCCCAGGACAGCACATATTTCCTCTCAGAATTTTACAATTTGGAAAGTAGTGAGGTCCCCATTTATGGAACATGCTGAGTGTCCATGAAGATGAGTGGATTTGTCAAAGATCGCAGAACAGATTTCAAACGATTCTGCTTGACTGAAAGACTGGGGTCTACTTAGCTTCGGGCCCACACCATGGCCAGCCTGCGCTGCAGCTGTGCCCCCCCGTGGAGGTGTGATGGGGAGCAAGAAGGGAGAAAGGTCAGCCTGGGTGCCTGTGGCATCCAGCAGAAGAAGCCCTTTCATTCCAGGGTGTCCTGGAAGGGGAGTCAGCTTGCGATATGCTAGCATCCCCAGGCCGAGGCTGCTCCCCTTGCTCTAGCCTACCTCTGACTATCCAAACAGCTGAGAAACTTGCTTTCAGCAGAAAGGGAAAGGCAGTGCTGTACCACAAGGGCCCATGATGCACCGAGACAGGCCTGTACTACCCGTAGGCCTGGTGCAACAGCTTCGGGGCCAGGATGGCCCAGAACCCTCCCACAGTCCATAGGCTCGGTGCTCCTGACACTCATCTCCCTGGGTCACCTCAAGTTTCCTCTGCTCCTGTGCTGTCCGGCCCAGCACTGCCCAGAGGATAGGTTTGGGGGCTCCAACTGGAGTCCTTGTCTGTTTTGTTCATCAGAATTTAATTGAGAGAGCAAATTTCCTGAAAGCTTCTAGGACTCAACCTTTGTCCCCAGGCTGCTAAGCATTCAGGTGGCTGCCACGTGAGGTGCCCTGGCCTGTTGTGTCCCTGTGACCAGGTCCCTGCTGAGACCCAGCACAGGTCACTTCCTTTAGCAGAGTCCTGCCTGGCCAGATGCTTGAAGTGGGTCCACGGCACGGCTTAGCCAGCATGGAGAGCTGCACCCCTCCGTGCCTGGCTGGGGAGGAGGAGGATGTAATCTAGCAGCTGCTGAACCCTAGAACATCGGTCTTTCCATTAAACTCACAAGAGCAAGAAGCCGTGGCTCCACCATTGTCCCTCATATGAGTTCCCCAGGAACCCTGGAGCAGATCAGAAAATTTTCCTAAACTCCTGCCAGGGAGCAAGCCCTGTGCTGAGTGCTCCTATTGTGGGGGTTGGATTTCCATGGCACATGCACATGTGACCTTAAGCACTGGCCAGTCCATCCTGGGCTCAGAACATGTAGGAGTCTGGAGTCCTCACAGCCCAGATTTTCTTTATATTTATTTATTTTTATTTTAAAAAGAATGAAAAATAATAAAAACATTAGAAATGATGCAGAATTTCAGAAAGCAAGATGATAAGAATTCAACAATGGTTGTTATATTGTGTGTTGTCTTCAAAGTCGTTGCCAAGATAGAAGATGTAAAATTGGTAAAAAAATTCAGCATTAATTGGTCCTTTCAATAAACCAATAGAAATCAGTTGTACAATTATGTTAGCCATGTATTTCTTCTTTTGATATTTCTTTTCTCTTCCAACATCAAGGGGAGTCCTTTTTGGGAGAACTGGAGTGGGGCTAACAGGAACGGCTCCCTGCGGGCACCTGTCCTATGGTCAGCCAAGAGGTCCAGCACAGCTGTGATGGGCTTCAGTGGGGTCCGTGGCTATGACTCTGGCCCAGACTCCCAGCTTGTGTGAGGGTCCAGATGGAAAGGTGTGTTGTGTGTGGCTCAGGAAGCCCCTTGCTCCTGAGGCCCGAGGACCCTGGCACCTTCTGAGGATTTGGATGTCTCTCCTTTGGGATTCCCAGACTGGTCCTCAGTGTCCCTGGAACTGAAGCGAGGAGCTGGGCTGGAAAAGCACTGGAGGAACCTGTGCCAGGCCACTGCTTGTAGCACGGCTGGGCCTGTGATGGTCCACTGGGATTTTCCACCACTCCTGTAGGGCATACCTTCCCTGGTCAGAAGCCTCTCAAGGAGGGGATAGTGATTAATGTTTTATGGGCGAGCTGCTGGGCACGATGCCTTGTTTTCTTTAGGTTTAGAATACAATGAAGACGATGAGTGGAATTTGCGGCCGAGTGTGGAGCCTGGGTGAGGCTGTTCTTGGGGCTTGATGACCCAAGGTTCACTGTCCATCACCTTGGAGTGGGGACATAGGTAGGAGGTGGCTGAGGCAGGGAAGGCAGGCAAAGCCCAGCTTCACCAACCTTTGCGCAGAGGTCTATGGCCAAAGGTCGATGAGTTCCCCCCCAGACTAAGGGATTCTACTCATCCCCATCAAGTCACCTTGTCTCCATGTAGGATTTCTCTTATTGTTTTGTTCTTTCCTATATATTGACCAGACAAGGGGTGAGGCACAACCAGTCCTCAGCCATGGGGAAAACTACAGCTTCATTTGTTCTTAAAATATAGAAATAATTATGGGTATAAGATAGCATTCAATGCATATGAAGGAACTATATACAGAAAGACCAAGAACAAAGTGTGTGTGTGTGTGTGTGCGCACGCACGTGTGGGCGTGTGTGCATTCCTGTGTGTGTTGATGAATGGGAGTGACTTATCCCTGAACACTCTGTTGAGATTCATACTCTGATGTGTCCTAAGACAGTTTCAAGTGATTTTTACGGGGCAGCCCAGAGCAGTACTTAGATCTGGACTCTGTGACTTCTGGCAGCCTAGGCCAAGGCCAGGCCTGTGACACAGTCAGAGGCTGGGGCAATGTCCTCAGCCCAGAGCCGCCCTGTCCCTGAGAGATGTCACCACCTTGGGCTGTCCTAGGTTTGACTGTCACCCACCCCCACCCATGTGGAATGTTGGCTCTAGGAGGCTGACCTAGTTGGGTTTATTAGCGGGTTCCTGGCACACACTTTTCAGTAAGCTACAAAGTAGTAACAGATTCACAGCATGGAGAAGAGTGTCATCTATTTTCCCTTGGCCACTGTGACATAAGGGACGGGGGTGGAGGAAAGACTACAAATGAGTCTAACCCAAAAAGAGCTAAACCCACAGGACGGATCTCAGAATCAGAGCCCCATGTGCTGTAGTTGTGAACATTCTGAAAGTGGGCAACATCTCTTTGAATTTTGCTATTCTTTCAACTTCATTTATATTTTTCATAATGTAAGTCAAATAGATAGCAATGACTACAAAGGACTCATAAAAACAAAAGGAATTTAATCTACAACAACAAAGAAATTCACTGAAAGTATGCAGGCTTAGAGTTGCTGGCTGGGAGGATGCCCAGGTCGCACCATGAAGGTGTTAAGGTATTTTGAGTATGACCTCGGTGTGCGTGTGTGCATTTGTATGTGTGCATGGCTCGGGGTGTGTGTGTGTGTGTGTGTGTGTGTGTGTGTGTGTGTGTGTGCTTTGCCTACTGGAGAGTGCTGTCGCGTCAGTCTGCCAGCAGTGCACATTCACTCTTGGCTAACTGTGGTACCCTTGCAGGTCTCCTGGATCCTGAAGGGGGCCTGCTTGCTGGGAGGAGGTCCGAGCACCTCCCCACTTCCTGGTCATTTCCTTGAACTCCAAGGGAAGCCTCCTTTAGTCCAGCTGGAGCTGTGAAAACTGACGGTCCTTTACACAGACTGGAGGACTGTCCAGGGGCTGGAGAAATGTCTTCAGCCCACAGCTGTCTTCAAGTCATCTTCTCTTCATGTGGAATTTCTCTTACTGTTTTGTTCTTTCCTATAGATGGACCACACAAGGGGTGAGGGCACAGCCAGTCCTAGAATACTACAGCTTCATTTGTTCTTAAAATATTGAAATAGTTATGGGGTGGAAGATAGTATTCAATGCGTCTGGTCCTAGGACCCTGTCATAGGGTGGAGGAGGCAGGAGTGCTGCAGGAAACTCACATGACTGCCTAAGACATGCCAGAGTTCTGAGATTGGCATTCAGGGCTCCCTTTCCACTCTTCTGCAGTCCTCCCATGAGGGTTGGGCCTCTATAGAAGGGCAGTGGGTGTGCAGGACCTCCCAACCCTCTTTACACCAGCGCTATTTGCCTCTTGCCTCACTTTGTCCACCTCCCCTCCCATCTGCCTAGCTGGAGACCTGTGGAGGTGGCCCTGCTGCTCACCTTGAGGGAGGATTCCTGGGCTCTGAGGTGAGATAACTCTGCTCAACTGTTCGTGAAGTTCCCGGAAGTCATCCGTGCACCTGGGTTGGGGCTGATGAGCCAGCGGCATCTTCCATCCGAGACAAACTCCAAGAATTCCACAGCTGCTGGTGACCTCCTGGGCTGGAGGAGGCACATCTGCCTCCAGGAATGTGGGTCCTGGAGATACCGGTCCCAGGAATGCCTCATAGGCTACAGTGTCCCTTTCAGAAGATTCCAAGGCCCCAGGCCCCTTCCCCTTCCCTTCCTTCTCCCTGTGTATGAAGTTATCCTGGTTTCCCTTGGGGAGTTCTTTGGGAAAAAAAATCCTGGAGAGTTAGTGTTGAAAAGAACTTCGCAGCATTGGTCATTGGGCTCACAGGCACCATTGCCCCCTGGCCAAGTAATGCGCAGTGAGTTAGGTGAGGTGCCTGCCCACTGAGGCCCCTGCCAAGTGGCAACCCCAGCTGTCGGAGTGAGGACTGCTTTTCACAGATGTGGGGTGAGTTCAGGTTCTCTTGGAGACCCATCATCCAGGTTCACACAGCAGAGGTTCGGCAAGTGCTGCAGGAACCTCACTTGATTTAAGCCAGTGCCCAAACTTGTCTGTCCACAGGACACTCTTTTGGAAATAATGTAGATTATTATTTCAGAGTGCTTATTGTCTACAAAGCATGTATTGTGAATGTTGGCCTGCGTGCTATCTCTGAGGGCCTCTCAGTTTTCAGATTCCCTGGTTTAAAGCCTCAAGGTAACTTCATTTATATAAACCTCTCCTGGGGGTAGGTGTGAGAGAAGGGGGAGTTTCAGGTTCAGAGGTGCAGAGGAGGTGGGAGAAAAGAAGGTAGATAAGAAGTGTGTGTGTGTGTGTGTGTGTG